CCAACCCTCACTGCTCTAGCCAGGGAGCAGAGGGGCGGGACCAGCCCTGCTCTCTGGAGCAGGCAGCACAGCCCAGTCCAGGGCTGGAAAGCATGCTGGGATGCTGGGGGACTGTGATTTAACTTGAACCAGTAAGGGGTCTGAGATAGAAGTTTCATAAACCGGCTTGACCCAAATCAGCTAAGGCTGATACTGCATTCAACTAGGTTTATCTCAAACCAGTTTCAGGCTTTGTAAACCTAGTTTATGTGCACTGAACATCTGTTCTGTTACAGGCTTAAACCTGTTTCTGATCACTTAAACCAATTCATGTGCAACTTCTATCCTAGGAAGCAAATCCTTGTCCATGTGGCAGTATTGCCTGGCAAGGTAGGATGCCACGTGTGATCTCACGTCCTCTGAAGAAAGTCAACTAAATATATTTCTAAGTGGAAGGGAGATCCCAGCTGCATTTCCTCTGCCTCTAGTTGATTGGGAGTCTAAATGCTATTGTAATGAATTTTCAGAGATGTAACTGGGCACCTGAGTGCAGCAACTGTGCAATGTAGCTAGTGCTGGAAGTACAACTGCTGATTTTTTTGCACCCCCCTCCACCAATGGTCGGCACCCAGATGTACTACCAATAGTTCCTGTCCCCCACCCCCTCTCCTCACTTCGTTGCACTACTGTGTATTTTGCTGAGTTGTCTGTGGGGACTGGATTGGGAAGTCAACTAAAAGCATGAGTCTCCATGGTTTGGTTATCATTAGGACCAACACACTCTTGAACCTCTATTGTTTTGACTGTGCTACATTACTACAGTACAGATAGTTATAAATAAGGATGGATGATTAGATAGCAGCACACCATCAGCACAGTGATAGGCACATGATGCTTTGTATTATCACAAAATGCAGCAATCTACTTCATATTCACAAACTCTAAAAACAACTCTATGTAGGATAATTATATGGATTTCCTTGGGTCAGATCCTAGAGCTCTATATGAAGAAATTAAATTATATGCTTACCCATGCAGTACATTTAAGGGATATACAGCCTCTCTTATATTATCATACTCTTTTGCTGCCTCACGTACTTGCACAAGTCAGCCAAAATGAAACACTGAAGATTCTGTGCGCCATGGATTTTTGAAATTGTTCTATGGAACCTTACTCTGTTGCAGGTGGATTTAGTAAAGATCAGCACAAGGGTAATTTATGTTTTAGGTTTATCTTTAAGTATACATAATAAGAAATTGCCTGTTTTACTGCATAGGTGCCAGTTTGCGTGATGACCTTAGTAAATACTTCTGGTTTCATCATTCTCAAGGGGACACAATGACAGTTCAAGATCCAAGCCAGATGAATCTCTGCGCTGCTGTTTGGACTGTTGTCTCCTATGTAATTGCTGACATGGAGGAGATGTTGCCAAGGTAATAAAAGAAGCAAGAAGGAAAACGTATATTCTTCAGTGAAGGCTGTGAATCGACTGATGCATATGGTCTACAGATGTAGGAAATTCCTTATTCACCCTGATTTTTGCTGATTTTCATTCTGTTCTTTGACCTGAAAGCAGATTTCTTTTACATTGTTCTGTTTGTTTTAGCTGGTTAAATGCATTCCATTTCTGATTCTTATTTCATGTTTTTTCTAGCAAGTTTTTATCAATTAATCAATGCCTGATGCCTCCCCCAAAATATACTGTATTATAATATTGTATAATAATTATCTATAAATAAGTGATCCTGTGTCAGAAGGAAATACACTCAATAAATATGTTGTATCAGAATAGTTGCTGTGCTATGCGTGTGTAATATGTTAGGGATTTTTTCTGTCTAGACATTAGAATAATGTTAGATATAAAAATGCTCCCATGCTTCCCTAGTCTTTAGACTATAAATCAGTACTTTGATAAGTCTTAGTTCTAGTACAAACCAACTCTTGATATTATAACTTGTTTAATGTCTTAAAGATTTGATAGCTAAAATATTATAGCTCTGAAAAATGTCCTAATTCATATAATCCATATTGCAACTTCAGACACAATTCACAGTAAAGCCTTAAACTGATTGGAAAATGCTGTTCACTGCACAATTCACTGGAGAAAAGCCAAGGCTTATGTGATTTGAGGGGAATAGAAGAAATGGTGGGAATTATATCAGCACCCTGGCTGCAAGTTTGTGTAGAGGGAAGTAGTTAGCATGTTAATTTGAAGTCAGGCAGAAGGCAGGACAGGTTTGCATCTTATAAACTGTATCAGAGACACATAGCATAAGCTTTTGTAAGCAGCACTTTGATCAGATGGTGTGAAGGGACTGTAGAAAGCAGAGCTTCTAAATAGAATACAAAGGGGTAGGGAAGGGAGAGGAAAAAGAGGCTAGGTGGGTAGCAGAAAGAAAAACATTTAAGTCTTGCAGGGACACAAGGGTTATAAAAGCTAGTAGAGGTAATGGGATAAGAATCCATAATCTTGGTTTAGACCATACTTAACACAATTCAGTCTGCAGATGATTTCTTCTTCCACAGTTTTCAGTTCAAGTTTGTTTTTGAAGTTTTGGTGTCTAAGAACAGCCACTCGGAGGTCAGCGATTGACTATCCAGGGAGGTTAAAGTGTTCTGCCACAGGCTTATGTGTCTTTCTGGAACTGATGTCAGACCAGTGTTTATTCATTTTGGTACGTGGGGTTTGCCACATCTGTCCAGTGTAGATGGCAGAGGGGCACTGTAAGCAAGTGATGATATGCATGACATTGGTCAAGGTGCAGGTAAATGAACAGTGGATGTTACAGTCCACATTAGTTGGTCCAGTGATGATGTGGTCTGTGTTGGTGAGGAGGCACAACTGACATCTAGGTCTGAAGCAAGGTCTGCTCAGAATGGGAGTTAGGTAGTGTGTTGCTGAAGGGATGCCATTTGTGGTTGAGTGGCTGCCTGTAAGCTAGGACAGATGTGTCCCCTGTGGCTACCTTGAGAAGGTCATCATTTTTCAGGAGGAGTTGGAGGTCATTAGTGTTATGTCTAGGTTGTTCAAGCTGGTAACTAGGTGACAATGAAAGGGATTCTGTAGTGCTTGCTTCAAGACCAGTTTTATAGCAGGTCTGAGTGGGGTCTGAATCTGGCTGTGTTCATTTAAATGGCTATAGGGTTGTATTGTAATTGTAGATATCCCTGTTCCACCTCCTTCAGTTGTCCTTCTGGGTAGTAGGATCCATCTGTTAAGCTTCACAACCTGGGTTTCTTTGGGGTCCCAGCTACCTCCAAATGTATGGGTAACCATAGCTGTCGCATGTACTTTCAGTCATTTTCACTTGGAAAGAAGATAGTTCTGAGAATCATAGAATCAATGAGTCGGAAGGGACCTAGACAGATCATCTAGTCCGACCCCCCGCCATGGGCAGGAAGGAGCACTGGGAGTAGCAGGGGTCATAAGACCCCAGCCAGGTGCCTATCCAGTCTCCTCTTGAAGACTTCCAGGGAAGGTGAGAGCACCACCTTTCTGGGAAGCCTATTCCAGGCTCTGGCCACCCTTAGAGTGAACTGTAGTCACCTGAGGTAGTCTTTACCATATTTATCTACACACTATATTTTAAGTGCACCAGTTTCTTAAGCCACACATTTCAGGCAGAGAAGACATTGCAACTGGGCTTAGTATTTCTCACTCTCTGCCAGTTGGTATGTGGATGACATTTAAAGTAGTCAGTTTTGATTTATACCACTCAGTGGTTTGAGTCTACGTGATGCCCGTCTCCCCTGCAAGAACTGATAACTTGCTATTCTCACTGAGGATGAGAGATGAATTTTTGAATTAGCTTTCCTTATCTCCTATTGATTCTTCCTTTCTCTGCCTGGCCCTTATTCCAGTGGCACGTTTTGAGGATTAGGAGGAAAGGCAGTGAACTTGAGAGATACTTGGAGATGTGTTTTCCTTGTCTTCAACGTGTGTAGTTCATGTCTTTGACAAGTGCTTTTGATTTGTATTTTTTGTTTTGCAACAAAGCTAGCAAATGTTATGCATGGACACAACAGCATCATTTCCAGTTGCTATCAGCCATTCCTGGCTTTGGACTGATATATTAGCAGTGAGAGGTAATGGCATCCCATTGGAATTTCTCTGAAATACCCATTCTCCTTCATAGTCTGTATCAATTTTTAACAAATATAAAATGATATTCTGTCCTTTCTTTTGAAGGAACAACTGAAATTAACTTAAATTTATTCTTACAGCCTATTACAGGTTCCAAGAACACTGTGGTTTATATAGCAGGATGCTTCTTTGACAAGTATATGGCTAGTGCTTCTCACAGATGTGTCAGTTTTGCTTTCATCAACCTCCACATTCAGATCTCTGCCTAGGAAAGCATATATGTTTTTAAACCTTTCTTGATCTTTTCCCTTATCCTTCTCTACCAAGGTTTATCAACGTAACTTTGTTCCTCAAAGATTCACAGGTTTCCCATATGCAGTTAAATTAAGTGGCACAAGTTTTAAGTCCTGTCCTTTTAGAAGAAATATTCCCTGTTTCCTTTTCTTTTAGAGTATGTCCTTTAGCTACCACTATGTCAGCTGGAAGCGTTTCTGAGATAAGAGTACTCATAAAAACATATTGCATTACACCCCATGATAAACTTGTTCTAACCATTGCTGCAAAAAAATCCGATTGACCTCAGCACAGTTATATCAGTTGGAAAAAATCCCCTGCTCCCTGTGAAATACCATCTCAAGATCCAGAGGGAGCAAGACACCTTTGTTTATGATTTTATGTTCAATGACAGTTTTCATAAGACTGGGCTATAAAAGAATACAACTCCTCCTGAAGACTGTGTAAGCCTTCCACCAACCTCATGGACTTCAAGGTTTAGAGAGTCTTCAGATTAAACTTGCAGAGCAGTTATTTTCATGAACTTCCATTTTTTCTAGTGAACAATATAGGTAATGTATACACTGCATCCTTAGTGTATCCTGGGAGGGTGACTCCCACACGTGCTCTACCTAACTTGTGCTCACAACAGTACACCAAACCTAGAAATATGATGGTGAAGTCGTCTGGGGCTGCTCACACCAACTGTTCTCAAGGCCTGAGTCTCCCATGTGCTTGAGTAGCTGCTGGGGATACCCCTGATGCAGCTTCACTGCTCATTTCCGAATCTGGTGCATGAAAGTGGGAATGAGTAGATGCACTTGAAGGCATCCCTTCAAGATAGGTTGGGGACCCATTGCAGACAACCCTATAAGACTAATTAGAGCTAGGTGAATTTTTTGTTTTCAGCCAATTATTTTTCAGTGAAACATGCATATTCAACGACATAGAAGTGTTTTGCAAACCTGTCTCTGTTTTGTCTGCTTCAGCGCTATAATGACTTTTCGTTCTGACATTCTTGAAAAGGAAACAATATGACTTTTTAAATCAGAATGGTATTTCATTCATTTCAAAATATTCTTCAATCATATTTAAAAAAGTAAATGCTTAAATCATGAGCTAAGTTTACTTCCGGTTGAACACAACATTCTGTTCGAGTAATGGAGATTTTTTTTAGTTTTTTGGTTTATGATTTTTTTTCTTTTTTTTGTGGAATTGGCAGCAAATTGCAAAATTGTCATTATTTCTCTCCAATTATATTAAGTCTTTGTAAATCTATGATATTTTACTTTCTTTTAGTTCAAAATAGCATTCCCCTGTAATTCAGAGGTAGGCTCCTCGTTTGCCACACAGGAGACCTGGGTTCAATTCCCTGATGCTTATACAAATACAGCCATGGAGGCACCCAATATCTGGACCCACCCTGGCCTTTGGATTCTGCCTCAGTAGCCTTAAGTGGGGGTGGAAGATCTGGGCAGCCTCCACTTTTCCAAAATCTCCTGCCTAGGCTTATGCATCAAGGGTCTGGGTGACCTCTTGTGCATATATCATGATCTAGAAGGATCAACAGTTGCCATGAATGAATGGTTCTGAATAAGAATTAAGCTCTTTGTATGTAAATACTTTTGATGTTTCAGTGGTTGGCGATTCGATTTCTGAAGAGGTGGTTTAATTTTCTAATTGGTAGCATTTGTTCTGGCCAGATGATTCAAGTACATTAGAAAATTAATTATTTTACTGGCTCCAATCTCTGCTTGAGGAACCCTGTTGTGCCGCCTTCAGAGATGAGAAATAATTTTGCTTTCTTTTTCTATTACAGGTAACACCTAGGAAGTTAGTCTTCTGATAAAATATCATGACAGCATGTTAAAACGAATGCATTACACCTATGGTTTTTTTTAGGTGAACAAAAATACCATTGACATTGCACTAGGATGACCTTGTCCTGTAAATGTCTGTTTGCTTTGACTATAATTGCACTAGGATGACCTTGTCCTGTAAATGTCTGTTTGCTTTGAATCAAAGAAAAAGGAAAGGTATTCAAACATACTGAAATAACATCACCAGTGTTAAATTCCAAATAAATATTTTCTTTCAGATATGGTATTACAGACTTCACTTATCGGCTAAGAGGAGGGGATGGACTTACATAGTTTCCTTTTTACTACAAGTCAAAAGCTTTCAGACATGGCTATGGAGGGTCAAGTCAGATCCATAATTTATTTAGCCAGCTAGACTATAGTGCGAATTAAGATTAAAAAGTCTTTTCCAATATTGCATGATTTAAGGTGGATACATTTTTTCAGTAATAAATGGAAGGAATTATAGGATGAGAAATCAGGTTACTGGTTTTGTCCTTCGTGTGTCAAGGTGTTTAAAATTTGTAGCATCTCTGAATGATTTAAGTGTATGATCCCTTGGGCTTTTTACCTTCCTTACCATAATTAAACGCTGATGAGAAAGGGAGCTGTTTCTTAGTACTAGAGGTGAAGCTGTGCTGCTTATGCATTTACATTGAAGACATTTCTGGCTGTATATTTACTTAGTATGCTTCCCTCATAATGATCGGAGACACTTCCATTTACCCTGAGTAAATATCAAACTGATCTTGATATCTATATCTGTCTCATGAAATATACATCCCATCTAAATGTGCCCAAATGATTAATTTACTGCTGTTTAATGATTAGCATAAAAATCTCATCACTACACAAGATAGAAATGTTACCACTAATTGCCAGTTGAAGTGAACAATGTTTTCTGCATAGAAATTAATGATGCATACATCACAAGACTGTGTGTGAACTGGGAAAATCAAGACTTTTCTGAAGCTGAAAGCCCTTGACTTTTTTTCAAAGTTTTGTGCACAAAGTAAAATTAGCCAATTGTGTCCTCGTCATTTTTATGGAATTCTTTGTCTTCTTCAACATTTTTTATTTTTGTCTACAATAAATGTATGTAAATTCTTTTTCCATATATGTCCAATTTCCAGTGCTCATTACTTCTAGAAGCTTGGGCTAGTATAAATTAAATAAAACTTGGCCAATGCTAGGCCTTAGATTTATTATTGTGCTTATTTAAAGTTTATATTGTGATAGTGTCTAGTGTACTACTCTGCTTGCCTAATGATCTTTGGTCAAGGCAGAGTGTTAGGCTTCCACAATAGTCCCACATGCAGCTCTGCCTGTGGCCCATGGTTGACTTCCCCCATGTCAGACCAGCCCCCTTTACCTCAAGAGTTATTGCTTTCCTGGTTTTTTGCTCTCTCTTCCTCAGAGCTTATATTGTGGTAGTGGGTATTTACCCAACATCTACAGGACTTAGACTTTGTAGGCAATGTTTGCCTAGGGACTGCAAACATTGGGAAGACAAAATTATGAAAGAAGCAGCTACAAACTAGTCAAATTGAAGGTAAATAGGGAGAAAATAATGAGAATAAATGGAATACCATGGCATGTAGAAGTGAATGCCACATGTGTTCAAGAAGTGGAAAGCTGAATATATCTTTGAAGTATTGTGAACTACTCTGATAGTGTCAAGAAGGATATCCATGCTAGACTTATAAAAACACATGTTGCTTTTATGCTTCACTAACCACACAAATTTAAGTAAGAACCAAAGTTTAGATCTTTATAATAATGTGAAGTTGTTTTTATTTTATCTGGTGGAAAAATGGGGAAATAGAAAATGGCTGGTACAGCACACTGTAATTTTAAGTCTGTACTAGATTTTAGGTACCAAAGGATCTGAACAGGCAACAATTGAAGAACAACACAAAAATGTACAGAAGAGACCTACTGAAAATGCCATTAAAGAAAGCAAATAAAACCCTAGCTTGTATCTACTGATGCATCTCAAGCAAAACCCTGGATGTCATCCTCCCACTTTACTCAGCCTTGGTGAGGCTGCAGATTGAGTACTGTATCCAGTTCTGGGCTCCACACTTTAGGAAGGATGTGGAGAAGCTTGAGAGAGTCCAGAGGAGAGCCACGCACATGATCAGAGGTCAAGAGAGTAGGCCTTATGAGGAGAGGCTGAGAGGCAGGGACTATTAAGCCTGGAAAAGCATAGGCTCAGGGTGGACTTGGTGGCAGCCTGTAAGTATATCAGGGGTGCATCAAGATCTGGGAGAACATCTGTTCACCAGGGCACCCCAAGGGAAGATAAGGTCCAATGGTCACAAACTCCTGGAAGACTAGTTTAGAATGGACGCAAGGAAAACTTCTGTACTGTCTGAATCTCCACAGTCTGGAATGGACTCCCCCGAGAAGTGGTTCAAGCATCTACTCTGGCCACATTCAAGAAACATTTGGATGCTTATCTTGCTGTGATCATCTGACCCCAGCTGACTTCCTGCCCGTTGGGCAGGGGGCTGGACTCAATGATCTTGCAAGGCCCCTTCCAACCCTAATGTCTATGAAATCTATGTGTGACAGGGTGCCTGAAGCAGCCTGCCATGAGAATGAGAAAGAGAGACAAAAGAAAAAAACTTAGCTCGAGGAGCAGGAAAAGCTGCGGCAAATCCAGACACAGAAAGTGCTGCACCCAAAACAACCGAAGGAGTCAGCTGGGGCTATGGCAGATCAAAGACTGCCACGGCAAACCCAGCTGCTGGGGTTCAAACCCAGGAAGAGGAAAACAGTGTCGAAAAAGAAAGAGAGAAAAAAAGAGGCCACGCCAGGAAATGTAAGGAGGAACAGCTGGGTCAGACGGGCAGCAAATGGGAGGCTGCCACGACAGACCCAGCTGAGAAAAGGAAGATTTAAGGGATGCCAAGGAAGCATCTGGGGGTCAGAGGAAACTAAGAAACAGAAAAGACAAGAAGAAGAGATCAGAGAGCAGAAGAGGGGAGAAGACCAACCCTGGAGTCAAAGGGAGAGCTCCAGCCTCGTAATTTATCTGGCAAGATCTGACAAGGAACTTGTTCCGGTGGGGAGACTCGACTGGCCAGTGAGATCAGGACTGGGGGGGGAAGAGAACCACTCTGGTGACCTAGGGGAAGAAGGCGGTATAGGCAGAATTACTACCCAAAGAGGGGGAGAAGAAGAGAGAGAGGGTCTCAGTCATAGGAGGGCAACAGGGGAACCAGAGGAGAGAGAGATAGCTGTCTTGGGACCCGTGTGGGGAAGAACAGGGCAAGCAGCCACATAACCAAGGCACTCAGCCAAGGGCATTCCAAATAAGGGTAGGAAGATGGGTCTCAAAGGCAGGTAACTGCCCAAAACATCAGGTGTGGTGAGGGTAGGGGATGGGGATGGTGGAGCCCTGTGAAGACCCACCTGCATCCTGAGCCGATGCCCATTCTCCATTGTCTCCCTAGGAGTGTCTAGACATATCTCACATAATATTGAAGGCGTGGCAGATGATCTTTCCAGCAACAAAGCATTACTGTTTCAATTGGGAGACGACGGGGCTGTGGGCAGTACAACATCAACCCCTTACACTATGATAATTTAAATGAATTGATCACACTCTGAAAAGACTGGACATTAATATTATGAGGCAACCCCTTGAGTAGAAAACAGAAGAAAGGAAGAACAAATAGTTCCATAGAAGGAGCATATATTGTGAGTTACAGCAGGTTGATCTCACCTGAGTGGAATCAAACTGCAAGTCAAAGCCAGACCTGAGTGGAGGATTGCCAAGGAGATTCTCCCCTCCTCCTAGAACAAAGATGTTTAGGTGTAAAGGGACAGCACTTTAAAGCTTCAACCAGATGTACAAGGCAATATACAACAATATAATAAATGACACCAAACTCTTGGTAGGTGAAAAAATTGGAGGCTATTTTTTGCCTAGTAGACAGTGTACTGTAGTCAACTAAGCATAGACAAGATTGAGAACCAAAAGACTTGTTTCAAATCAGTTTTCAAATCCTGGTTTTTGATACCGCTTTGCTATTTCAGTGTGTAAAATGAGGATAAGGATACTTGCGTGCCTCATGTTGCAAAGCTTAAATGAACACTGTTTATGAAGTGCAGCACAACTTCCTAGTATTTTTAAATTCAGACTGAGGCAATTGTGGAAATAGAAAACAGGGCCAACCTTCATCCTGTATGTCATGTGGCTTGTTTAATTCTCAGAGGTTTATAGTTTTGTGCGCCAAGCAAACAGTAACTCGTACAATGCAGTGTAGGGTAGGTTGATGTTATTCCCATTGTTCATATTGAAATTAAGATATGGCTACAACAGTTTTCCCAAACCTACATGACCAGTCTGGATGGGTCTTTGTGTCACAATGTAGTCTCATGTTAGAGCAGGTGTGGACAATTATTTGAGCTGTAGGGCCACTTAGGGAATCTTAGTGAGCTGTTGCAGGCTATGTCAGCACTCCCACTCCTCTCTCCCCACCCTGCAGAAGCTCACCAAAACTCTCCAAGTTGTAGATTAGTAGACCAGCCCGGGGGTGCTAGACAGAGTGGGCAGGTGCGGTCTCCATGGGGACTGGCCTGGGATCCATGTGGGTAGGGTATGCTTAGCCAGGCACATGGGATGGGGCTGCAGGCAGGTGGGGAACAGCATCCAGGGATGGGCGGGTGGAGCTAGGGCAAGGATCATAGGGTGGTGACAGCACAGGGTCAGGGCCCAGGGCAGAGCTGCAGTCCACTCCCTGCATGGCACCATACTGTCACCACCATGCAATCTGGGCTCTGCCTGCCTGTCCCACTCCCAAACCCCACTCCACACCTGCAGCCCCATCCCATCCACCCAGCCAAGTGCACTCTGCCTGCAAGAGTCCCAGCCAGTCTCCATGGAGACCCTGCCCACCAACTCCATCTGGCAGTACGTGCAGGGAGGATGGGCTGGGATGCCCAGGTATCAGGGCCATGTCGAGCTGCAGCAATACTGGCAGCAGCAGCCAGAAGCAGCCAGTGCCACTGGGGCTACCAGGAAGTGGAGTCCAGTCACTATGCCACTCAAGCCCTGCTGTGTGTCTGGGGGCACCAAGACTGGCCACATGGACCACAGCCCAGGCTACCCCTGCACCTGGGCGAGGCGGGACTGAGGGACCTGCCACAGGCTGGATAAAATCCCTTGGTGGGCCACATCTGGCCTGCAAGCTGTATTTTGCCCACCCCTGTGTTAAAGACTCCCAATTGAACCCTTTCCAGCAGGAGTAATATCTGTCTCTCATACAAAGACTTTCAACAACTGTAATCTAAGATTGAGTTTTAATACCTAGTCAACAGCTGCAGAAGATGCCATGTGGAGTTCTGTTATTCATTTGGGAAAGGAATTTATTGAGCAGTCATTTACTATATGATCAATTGTCTGAAGTTTGCTATAATCATATAACAGTATTTTTAAATGGCTGCTTAGGCATTGAGTATGCACATCTGCTGTATGAAGTCCTTATACAATTAAGGATCGCCTAATGTTACTTTGGGAGAAAGAAAATAGGAGGCCCAGCTGTAGGGTCACTAATAAAGAGTTTTATTTCTTTCACATATCCCCATTGCCTTTGCTAAATTTCTTCTGCAGTTATATTTTTTACTAGTAACATTTCAGGCAAAACCAAAAGAGTCAACATGATTTAAAACAAGTTGGAGGTAGGTGTTCAGAATCTTGATGAATGGTAAGTACAGGGTTAACCAGAATTTTTATTTATACTCTTTAAAAGTTGATATTTCATGATGACTGTCAAGTGGAGAAATGTGTATGAGCATTGGCAGCCTTCACAGATTTGATTTTGAAGTTCCAATAATAAGATGGATAACAGTATTGAGACATATCAAGAGGATGTGTATGTTCATTCCTTTCCCATACAACTGTGTGCCGTTTGGCCACAGAATAGGTTAAAAGGCAATATCTTTGTTCAAAGAGTTTTAGCATCACAACTAGCTAGTGCTAGCCAATTTCTGATCAAGTTTACTTCAGACTTCACTGCTTGCCTATCTAATATGTTAGTAGTATATGGGACTTCTGTCAAGTCTCAAAATAACATGTATGGTCAATCCTTATACATCAGTGGTATTTTAGTGTTTTAGTTATTTTAGTTTTTATATCTAGTGTCATTTTAGCTTCCAGATTACTGAGATGAAATACAAAGACTATTGTCTTGGCAGAAT